GCTTTCAAAACAATTCTTTTAATGTTCTTCTTAAGTTATCTTATCAGAAGGATTGTTCCGAATCATCTAGTCAGATATTAATGGAAGCCGAACCCCAGGATATTTTTATTATTATTGTGGTTTTCTGAAATTATGCAATGGTATATGCTCTAAATCCTACTCGAGTTTGGTGTGAGTCTTTCGTTTTGCTGAGTACTTAGTAGGCCCCTTCAGTCTGAAAACTCATGATTCAGTTCTGGAAATTGTATTATATTATGTCTTTAGTAGCTTTCTGTCCTGTTTTCTTGGTTCTCTTCTTTCTGGAGTTCTTTTTTATTCAGTTTATTGGGGTAACATTGGTTAATACAATTATATAATTTTCAGGTGTACATTATCATTTGACATCTGTATATTCTATTGTGTGTTTACCACCCAAAGTCCAGTTTCCTTCAGCTTCCATATATTTGATCTCTTTTACCCACTTCACCCTCTCCCTAACCCACTATATTTGACCCCCTTTACCCTGTCTACCTCCCCGCTCTTCCCCTACCCCTTCCCTTCTGGTAACCACTAGTCTGTAGTCCATGTCCATGAGTCTCTGTTTGTTTGTCCTGTTTATTTGTTGCTTTTAGGTTTATATCCCTTATATAAGTAATAACTTGTGATTTTCAACTTTTTCTGTCTGAGTTATTTTGCTTAGCATGATTATCTCAAGGTTCATCCATGTTGTCACAAATGGCAGTATTTCATCTCTTCTTATGGCTGATGGAATTCTTAATCATAATCAAGCTTCATGGATTGATTCTCTTCTTTCCTATTTTATATATTTTTAACTCTGTCTTTTCTCTTTCTGGGAGATTTCCTCAGCTTTGTTATTCCTTCTGTTGAAATTTTTATTGCTATCATTTTTAATTTCCAAAAGCTCTTGTTGTGTTTGTTTGTTTTTTTTTAAAGTTTTTTATTTTATTTTTTTAATTAAGTTTATTGGGGTAACATTGGTCAATACAATTATATAATTTTCAGGCGTATATTATCATTTGACACCTGTATATTCTATTATGTGTTTACCACTCAAAGTCCAGTTTCCTTCAGCTACCATATATTTGATCCCCTTTACCCATTCACCCTTCCCCTACGCCCCTATATTTGACCCCCTTTGCCCTGTCCACCTCCCCACTCCTCTTCCACCCCACTAGGAACCACTAGTCTATAGTCCATGTCCATGAGTCTCTGTTTGATTGTCCTGCTCATTTGTTGCTTTTAGGTTTATATCTCACATATAAGTGATATCACGTGATTTTCAACTTTTTCTGTCTGGCTTATTTCACTTATCTTAATTATCTCGAGTTCTATCCATGTTGTCACAAATGGCAGTATTTCATAAAAGAGTCTTCTTTAAATTTCATAGATGAGTGTTATCATTCAGGATATCTTCTACTTACCTATCTGTCCTACCTGGTTATACAGTTATGTAACGCATAATAATGTTTCAGTCAATGATGGACCACATGTATAACATGTGGTCCCATAAGATTGTAATGGAGCTGAAAAATTTTTATCGCCTAGTGATGTCAAAACCATCATAATGTCATAGGGAACACATTACTCATGCGTTTGTGATGATGATGCTGTAAACATATCTGTTATGCTGCCATTCATATAAAAATGTAGCATTTACAATTAATGTATAGTACATAATACTTGATAAACAACTATATTACTGATTTATGTATTTACTATTCTATACTTTCTATTGTTGTTGTAGAGTATACCCTTTCTACTTATTAAAAACAAAAATTTGCTGGAAAATATTATGCTGTGTTACACTGGCCACAGCCTCATACATTTTGTGTTTACCATGTCTCTTGCGCTTCCTGCTAGGGTGAACAGGCGGGAACCAGGCATGGCTCAGAATTCTCAGTACTTTTAGGTCTAGTCTATAAGTAAGAGCTCTTTTTGCCACCAATGTTTTGGGAGCTAAGCTATGAGAGGAACTTTGGAGGAGGGAGAGGTGTCTCAGTGTTCAGTATGTTGACCTTAACTTAATCCCACCAGCACTGTCTCCACCACCATATCTGTTGCCTCTTTTGCCATCTCTGTGCTTCTCCTGAGCATCCCTTTGTGAAGGACTTAGGTTTCAGCTCTTCCCACTCTGTTAAGGTAGTTACTACCAGAAAACGTAGTCAAAACTTTGAAATTTGTCTCCTCTATCCATTCTCTTTGTCTTTTGACTTTATATCCTTTCATTCCTTTACTGTCATTTTATATGGGTTTTGAAGAGAAAGATGTATATATGTAGTCTTGTATCTTCTTATATTTATACTGCTTTTGGGTTAAAGTTCTATCCACTTTGATTTGAACAGCCTTGCTTCTTCAAGAGTAAGACATTTACTTTTTTCCTCAGCTAGATAGTAAATAATTCTGTTTTTCTTGCTTTTTCTCTGGAAGGGGAAAGAAGGATGGAAACAAACTCTTTGCTTTGTTACGTTTATAATAGTATCGGATGTGAGTCCAAGTTAATTTCTACTTGCTTATGTGCATTTGTCTTGCCACATTTACCAAGTAGTGGTTCCTTTCCATGTCATTATGTTGTTTACAGTTTATTATACAGCAAATTCTTATTGTTAGTTTAAATCAATTTCTAGAATAATCTGTTAACTTTATTATTTTCAATGCAATAGCCTATGATATTGATGACCACATTTAATTTGTAAAGGTGACTTGATTTTATTATTTCCCTTTAACACTAATAAAATTTGACCATTATGCACCTCCTTGTGGTAGACATGAACTATATTTCATACCAAGTTAGCAAGTAGGAAGGAAAATCTTGGAGTAATCTCTTACAGATTTTATACCCCTCTGCCTGCATTAACATGCTATCATACTCCGATAGGCAAAATGAAAGCTACTTTAGTCTTGGAAGCAAAGGGAAGGGAAGGGAAGGCTGGGAGAGATAGCAGGAGCTCTTAGGACATTCAAAAGCCCGGAAACTGGATAAAATTGCCCAAAGAAGCAAAGTAAGAGCCTGAATATATATTGTCAGTTGGCAGAGGCCTTAGAGACCACCTGGTTCCTCAGGGTCCCAGCCTGTCTGTGCATCTAATCCCCCAGGGAGGTTTCATCTGTGCTTTTATAAAGCTCTCTCAAGGTGATTCTCTGAAGGACATCAGTTTGGGGAACCCTTGATCTTATTAACAACCTTTCTACTACCAGACTGTTACAGATGGTAAACTGAGTCCAGAAATGCTAATTCCTAGTCACACTGATGTGTTGGAGCCTAATGCAGTACCCTGAGCATGGGCTCTAAATTCCATAGACCCAGGTTCTATTCCTAGCTGTGCTACTTACTAACTAGTGACCTTGGCCAAGTTATATCATCTGCCTGAGGCTTGTTTTCCGTATTTGTAAAATAGAGATAATGATGGGGCCTATTTTTTGGAGTCAGTATGTAGCTTAAATGACATTATATGTATGAAATGCTTAAAACAGTGTCAGATGCTCAGTAACTCATGGTAATTTTGGCAGTTAATAGAACTAGAATCCAAGTCTTTGCATTGAATTGTCTCATTTCCTCTCACGCAGAAACTTCTTGTTTAGAATTAAGTCATATTCTCTTTCCTTGTGGTGATGAAATACATTAGCAGGTGTTTATTTTCTTCTAAAGTTATGGTTTGGAGATTTACTGTATGTAATTTGCATGAGTTTGCTGCATTTTGAAATCTGATTGTTAGATTTTGCCAGCTAGTGATTGCTATAGAAAAGTTTTTTTTTATAGGCACAGAAATGCTTCTAAAAATCATGGCTAGCTGTTTTGTTATTTGGCTCATATATTTGTATCTTCTGTGTGTACCAAATAGCATGACTTGAGTGGATAAGCATTTTCTCTTTGGAATAGTCTTGTCACCCAGGACTAGGCCAAGAATCAACACTTACATCATGGCTGTGATCAGAGATTTAAATTTTAAATGTGTAATTAGTGAGATTTTTCTCAAGTTACACAATCAGAATGTCAAAACGAGAGGACCATAAGTATAGCCTCAAAAGTAATTCACAAAAGAGCTGTTTGAAAGTATTATGGAAGGGATGTGCATGATCCTTTTATTTTAGCAATTGAAACATTTTGAACTGAGTTTTAGTCCTAGGATTGTTTCCCCTTTATTTAAAAAAATTTTTTTTTCTTATAAAAATAATACATGTTTCATGGTTAAAACTTCTGTAGTGCAGAAGGATGTAAAAGTGAAACAAGTCCTCTGCCTTCCCATTCTCATTCAACAAAGGAATAAGTAAGTAAGGTTCCTTAGGTCTCCATCTGAAATATCCTCTGCTGGCTCAGAGGTCATGTTGTAGAGTCGAAGGAATAATGAGAAAACCGTTGACAAGTTGAATTCATGTTTAGTTAAGAATTCATTGAATGAATGGTGCAGGAGAAAAAATAGCAATTACTTGGGTAGGATCTGGCCAGACAAGAATGAAAATATTTTGTTTCTCCCCAAGTGGTATATGCAGCAAATTGTGCTGTTCACAAAATAGTCTAGAATGCAGAAGCAATCAAAGGTCCTGAGATGCCAGAATGGTTGAGTCCTAACATCCTTTCCAACCTCTTTACCATCTCATTTCATGTAATTACAGTGAGCATAGTGATCTTTCTTCCAAACTCACAAAGCTGAGAAATAAAGGAGATAGTGGGACTGAGTAGAGCTGATACAGATAATTGCAGCTTAAAAACATATGAAAGAAGAAGAAAAAAAAAGGCCTAGAAGATCAACATTCTGAATGACATACATAGATTTTAAAAGCCATAGTCTGTTCTTCACTTTATTTTGAGGGAAGGTTAAAGAATATAAAAATCAGTGGTTCACTATAAGGACCATAAACCATCAATAGGTGTTTATTATTAAAATTTTTACTTATGAGAAATACCAGTTTATGGTAAGACTGAATGAGGGGCTTCATTGTATGTGTAATGTCTTAGTAATTTTTAAAATCCCAATCAAAATTATTTTATATTTGACTTTCAGTTCCACTTACTTATATGATAATTTCAAGAGATATAATGTTGATTGCTGCTGTTTTTTATGTCAGATATCGAACTCTTCCAACACCGGTGAGTTACAGAAAAATATTCTGTTACTATTCATTATAACTTATGGTAAAAAAACAAAAAGCACTCTTGTATACTGAGTTTGGCTTTATGGGAATAATTTATGGCGATTATTTTTTGATCCCTTTACAAAGAATTTTTAAAAACACATTAACTATCATCTCACTATGGTTGTTGTTCAGTGAACACATAAATAATCAGTTTTTAAAAAGTACATTTTTGTTTTTAGTCAAAATCTTTTCAGTTGAGAGCACATAAAACCCAGACCAGCTAGCCCTATCCCCAGCAACAAACTCTGTTAGGAGTTTTTGTATAACCAGGCCTACTATGCTGTTAATTTAATTCTACTGTGCCTACTATGCTGTTAATTTAATTCTACTGTTAATTCTACTGTGGATTATCTAGAACTGGAAAACCACAGTTGTATGATCATAGAATGGGTTGTTTGCATATATGTTCATTGGTTCTACAAATGTCTGAGCACGTAAACATAGCATAATAACCTCATCTTTTGGTTCTCAGGCCACTAAAAATAGCAGTAATATATTTTTGTTTTTTAGTTTATAAAAAAAAAATGTGATAAGGAGGATTTATTGAGTTTATTTTGTAAAAAGATTTAGTCAGGCAAACTTTATGATGGTTACAGTGTTAGAATTTTATTGGAATTGAGAAATCTATAAGTTTTAAAAAATCCATTTTCAGTAACCCATGTATAATTTATAAAGAATGTAGATACTGCTCAGTTAGGATAATAAAAGAAAGTGCAGATAAAGGGCTTATTTAACATAGATTCAGGCATGTGGTAAGCACTCAGTTACTGTTACCTACATGTAATAAAATGTTTGTTTTAAACTTGAATGATAAATAATAAACCTTCTCTCTTTTCTCCTCTGCCAGCGAACACTTTCTAAGTATTTCAATCCTTGCTATGCCACTGCTAGGTTAAAACCAACTTTCATCAGCAAGGTAAGAGACACCCAATGTCCTTTTAAGTTGTTCCATTGTAAATTTTTATTGCAATGAGTATAAATCTTATTCTAGAACAGCCAAAAATGAGACAGGTTTAAGTGCATTGACTATAGAGGATAGAGATTGGGGTCATTACCCAATTTTTTTGTCCGCTAAGCTTTTTGACTCTTTAGTATATGCATGTGTTTTGTATTGTTGGTCTGAGAATTTAAGTCTTTGAATGAAGTAATAGGGCCACTGTTTAGGGAAGGTGGAAAGAGAAGAAAAGTAATTGCATTTTGATTGAGATACAATACAGATTATGAAAGTATCTTTCTGGTTTCACTGAACCCCTCCCTGTGATGAAAACATCATATAATAAATAAGATCTTTTGACTTTTCAAGATCTATTGTTACATGCAAAGGGGTAGGAGAAAGTTTAATTCACTAGTAAATAATTGTTATTCTTAGTTGTCCATCCAGTTTTCTGAGTCCTCTGTAGAACAATAACTATATCCAGTCTTGGTACACAGGACATTATTAATGCCTCTCTAGGCACATTTGTTTTTCAAGTGGCCTGATAAGTTTGCTCTAATCATTCTTCTGCACTATCCCCTGTGGCAGAGGTTTCACGGTTAGGGATGCCGATCATCTCTGGCACAGAGTAGTGAGATTACTTTTATACCACAGACTTCTTGGCATGGACTTTAATCTACATATCTGGGTTTTTTTTTTTTTTTATTCACATGACATGCCCGTATCAAGCACAGCAATTTGAGTGTAGTGCTACATAGAAAGTGGCTTAAAGAGGTACAGGGACAAATGCCTCAGATCCTTGGTCTTGCAAGGAGTTCTCCAGACAATTTTTATTATTTATTTTTTAAACTAATTGGAATCCTGTTAATTTTGCTGCAGAATGAGTGATAGAACATAGGTGCTTCTCTAGCATATCACCCACTGATTCATACTTCACACGCTCCCCTCAACACTTCTTTCTTTGAGTAGTGTGAGTCCCCAGTGTCTGGTTGTCTTCTTCCTTTTATCCTCACTGCTGTCTTTTAGGGTAGGGAAACCTACTCCTTTCCTCCAGAGAACTTCTCTCATGGAGATGAATGTATTTCAATTTTCTGACCTCATAGGTTTGACAGGTAAGCAAGTGAAAGGAACATGGAATGAAGTGCCTGGAAATCTGGGTTCTAGATTTGGATCTTTAACCTGCTCTGATTGCAGGCAAGTGAAAAAGTGGCTTAATTATTTGCGTATCCACAGGGCTGTTTTAATGAGCAACAGGCAGAGAACTTTGCAACATTATCAAATTTCTTGGAAATTCAAGATAGTGGTTATTTTCTGACAGTTGTTCTCCTCGTCACTGTAAAAAGCAGCTGTGCAGACAGATGGGCCAGTTAGTGAAGTTCACCCTTTCATGTGAATGCCAGCTTCTGTGGCAGGGATGTTATAACATCAAGCATGCTGAGGGTATGTTGTGTTACACCGTGATGGGCTATGCCTTTGTCTCATGAGCTGGAAACAGGATCTGGCCGGCACTGTTCATTTATGACTCTTTTTTTTTTTTTTTTTTTTTAGGTAAACACGGCAGTCCAGTTAATCTTGGTGGCAGCTTCTTTGGCAGCTCCGGTTTTCAATTATGCTGACAGCATTTACCTTCAGATACTATGGTAAGCTAAATGTAGAATTACCCTGTGAGAATGTCAACTAAATGGCTAATTTTGGCAGTCCTAGAATTACTTTGCTTTTATAGTGTTTATTGAGCACCAACTGGGTAAAGCTCTGGAGTATATTTTAGGATTGATATCATTCTTAAGAAGCTTATTATCAAATATAGGATGTAGAAATTATAGAAGCTTTCATGCAAGTTAAAAGAGATGAGAAGTACAGATAATGTGTTGGAGTTCAGAGGAAGGAAAGAGTTGTAGTTTAGAAGAAGAAGGAAAGCTTTAGGGAAGAAGTGGAATTTTGAGCCATGAGGAGGTCTAGGTGAACTTTTTACAGGGAGAGACTGAGAAGAGGCCATTCAGGGGCAGGACACCCTGAGCAAAGTCAGAGAGTAGCAGAGTCCAAGGGAAAGTGCATCCAGCCTAGTCAAAGGGGCAGAGTGAGGGAGAATCTTGGAGAAAGGAGTTTGAATTTCATCTTATTGTGCTTAATTATAGCCTTGAAAACATGTCAAATTCAAACTTTTTCTTGAATGAACTACATAATACAACCTCTCTGATTTTCATTTTCTGCTTCTTTTAAAGTGATGTAAAAATTTAAGACATTTACAAAGCAATCTGAGTATAGAAACTTTCTAGGTTTCTTACCATATTCTCCAGTATTTTAACAATTATATTCCCTGCATATTTTGATAGTAATTTTTTTAGCAACTGGCCTTGTCTAAGTTTTTCCAGAGCATCCAACTTAGTTTTCAGAAATAGCAACTTTTCCTACTTGTACGTTTCATTGGCTTATGAATATTAGGTTTAGAATATTAAACTGGCATGAACAGCTTTAGGATCAAATGAAAATTGAATCTTGATGGCCCTACACCTCACCTGGTAGAAGCAGAAGTGCATGGTGCACTAAAAAGTTAGCCCGTTAGCTGCAAGCATTCAGCAAGCCGTGAGCATCACTGATGTAATTTCAAGCAAATCTGGTTATGCTAGTAATTCACCTAAAGAAAAATCAAAGAAAGCTGAAATTTATTTTAAATGGCTTAGATATTCAGGAAATAGAGTCTAATACTCTAAGCAGCATGGAGCAGTAGAAAGAGCACATGGCTGTAGAGTTGAAGCCAAGCCAAGCCCAAAGGTAGTTCTGTGGCCCTGAACATGCTCTCTGGGGCTCCGTTTCCTCCTCTAGAAGGTGAGGTGGTTGTGAAGATAAAATGAAAGACACCTAGAGTAACGTCTGGGTAAAAATGACAATTACTAATATTTTTCAGGGTCATTAACTAGATTAATGATTTGACATTACTGATTCAAATGAAGTCTTAAAAGCAGTGTATTTAAATTCTTGTAAAAAAATTGTACCACATAGCCTTTTTTATTTTTTAAACTCTTTCAAATGTATTCTCTATCATTCTCACAGTTACCGATTTTTAGACTTGACAACTAAATTTTCTTTCCTTTCATTAAAGGTGTTGCACAGGTTTCACCACAGCTGCATCAGCTTACAGTTACTATCATTATGGTCGGAAAACTGTTCAGGTGATAAAAGGCAGATGAAGGTCACCCATCATCCTTAGCAAGGAAGCAATACACATCATCGGCAGCGGGGCCCATGGAAATCTATAGGAGTTTCCCTAGTTTGGTGTTCAGCTTGAAAAAGGACTTGTCAGAACAAACCATGTCATCACAATTTAAGTAATGTGCATTGAAAATAAGTTTGATCATGGGCATATGTGAAATTTCCAATGTATTTTTAAATACAAATAAAACTATCATTTAGAATTTTTTTATCTTGGGTTTCTTGATTAACTCTAAGGAACCAGTTATTCCAATTATTGTCAGTCACTTTTTAATATTTAAAAAAAAAAAAAAAAAAATAGACCAGAGCATGGAAGCTGGAAAATTGCCACTTTTCTTCAGTAGAATTTAGATTGCTCACAAAGCACTAAGGAATTTCCTAGATTTAAACATATATCTTCCATAACTCAGCTACACAGTTTTATGTTTAATTTGATCGGTGTACACATTAACAGTTCATATGGTTAATATTTAATCATTTAGGATGATGACAGTAAAGGTGGCTTAGTTGTGGATGAAATAAACTTGTAAAGAGATTATAAATGCTGTAAGTTTTGAAAATATTAAGATCAAAATAGAAGATATTGAAGTTCATGTTGAATAATCTTCCATCCTCTCAGGTGCCTAATAGTTTATGTATCAGGATAACAACAGAGGTAGTTGGACTATGAAAACATATCCATGAGCCTACACCCTCCAGGAGGCAATGAATTATGCCTTCCCACTGTATTTCTGAAACATAGCAGTGTTTGTATGATATTGGAACATGTACTCATATGTTATTGTAAATAATATGAAACTGTATATTTTTCAAAAGTTTTTTAAACTTTGGGGAATATTATTTTGTTAAGATGTTAAAGGAATAAAAAAGCTGGGAAAAAAAGTTACCTTTGTCTTGGGCTGTTTGTATAGCATACTATGGTCCTCTATTGTGTAAGTTTTCGGATTCATAAAGTCAGTCCAGATACATCACTTGCACTTTTATTGTAAAAATAATTGGTTTGTCGTCATCTGACTTAAAAGCCCTTATTTTCACTACACTGACATGTTTGAGAATGTGAGATTCAGGGAAAAGGAAGAGGAAGACAAAGGCTTGTGCTGGTTGCTTTCTCTTATCAGTGGTTGCCTATTGCTGCCCGTTGTCCCAAGTTTTAACCCAAGATGTGGAATCATACAGTGAGATTATCTAAACATAGCCTGTTGAGCTGTTAAAATAGAAAGCTGCAAGCAAAATTCATGCCTCTTGGCATCCTCAGATTGGTGTCCTGTTGCCTCCTGGTCCTGGCTTCCTTTTTCCAGACTAGTTGCTAAGCAACCCTTGTCTTGGAATACACTGAAACCTGCAGGCGGGGACACTTCCATTGAATCAAATGGAGGTTGGTGGGAGGGTAAAGAAGGGTGGCATGTAGCTGGTTTTTCCTTTTGGAACCTCTTGTGTAGTCATCCTGGGAGGTGATGAGGCTGCAGGGAGAAGCCTGGACCATCCAAGAGGCACTCTGAGCACATCTCAGCACTAGCAAAGTGTGAACACACAAAAATGGTGTTCAAAAAAGAGAACTTGAAATAAGGTAGTTGTGGGAGAGATTAGGATTTTGTACTTCATTATGTTTATATGTAGCTTAGTGTCAATGCTATTGGTGTGACTTATGAGTTGGACTCATATTCTCTTTAGAAAAGGTTTTATCTGGCTCTGGTTAATATACTTTGACCACCTCAACCCTTAGAAAAATAGTCTAAGTTTCCTTGGGTTTTTGGATCCTGCGTTGTAAAACATGTAAATTCTGAGTTTAACAAAACTTTGGAATTATATTAGGCATGTTTGAGTGTATATTCATGCATGCAAACTGAAAGCACAGCAGAAATTCATTTGGGTGCCCCTACATAACAGATAACAATCTTAGTAAGCTTAAAAGGCATTGGGATAATTACATGTCTGAAAACTATGCTAATTAGTCACGTTTTTGGATTTTGTTGTGCTTTTTTTTCCTTTGCAATTTTTAATCGGAAGCTGGTAGACACATTTTAAATAGCTCAGTCCTTAGAGTTTGGGGAGGCTTTTTCGAAACTTTTCAAAACTTCTTCAAAACAATATATAGTGGTTCAGTTATTCAGGTCAAACTTGAATAGGCTGTTTCTGCAGCGGGGTTTTGTGCTTGTATTGCTTTTTGGAAACAAAAATACATGAGACTCAAACTTGATTTTTTTTTACTGTAGAAATAAATGCTGTTGTGGGTTTGCGTCTCCCAAAAAGATAGGTTCAAGACTTACACGGTGTTACATGTCACATATCTTAAAGCTGGAGGAAAATAATAGAAAAGGGAAAAATTCACACAGAATGTCATGAGACAACAGAAGCAGAGGTTGGAGTGATACATCTGCAAGCCAAGGGACACCAAGGATTGCCGGCAACCACCAGAAGCTGCGAGGGGCATGGAGCAATTCTCAAGTCTCCAGAGGGAACCAACCCTGCTAATACCTTGATTGTGGGTTTCTGGCCTGAACTGTAAGAGAATAATTTTCTGTTGTTTCATTACCACTTTGTGGTAATTTGTTATGGTAGCCACAGGAAACTAATACAAATGCTAATGTAGAAAATTAGCAATATGACCCCATTATAGTTTGATAAAATCACCTTTTCTCCTAAATTTGTATAAAAGTGAAAAAATGTGGTAAGGCATATCCAACACTCAGATACAAATCATAAAGGCATTGTTTAATGCAATTGGGAGCAGAAAAATGCCTTAGTCTCTAGTCAGAGCCTTGAGGTTCTCTTTCACTCATTTCTTCTAAGAAAAATTTCCTAAAAGTGAGCTCATTATGCTTCCTTAAAAAAGAATTCACAGTTCCTTTATCCATTTAGGTGAAATTCAGTAAACACTTTAAGAAGGACAGCCTTTTCCTGTGTTTCACAAATGTACCCAGAGGACTGTGTTTTTAACTAAAAGCTAGAGAAGCACATTTTTGCCATATCCTAGAATGCAACTAAGAAATCCAGAAGTCCTCAGGAAACAACCATTTCTCTTCTCCCTTACCCCCACTTCTCAGATTAAGAATCCACTGGAGTGATTCCTTGAATAACACGTGCGTTGCCTATGAGCTTGACCATGAGTGAACTTCCCTAAAATGACTTGAGGATGTTCCTTCCAGTCTAGTATAAGAGGCTGGATTGCGGAATTTGTTTTATCTCTTCCACACACAATACTAGTCTACTGAACACTGGGGCCGATTGCTACAAAAACAAACACAACCAAATAAAACACACGAGAATGCCCCATTCAGTAGAAGTTGTCTGGTGTAGACCACCACATTTTTGGAAACAGGCAGTGAAGTAGAAGGAAGGGAAGTTCCTTGGACTGAGAAACTAGCTTGGCAAATTCCGTGCTTGTAGGAGGAGTGCCGGCTTCACAAGAATTACAGATGTTCAGAGCTGATAGGATAGGGCATTGTTTGACTCTGTATCTTCTTTCTACACACCGGCAATTAATTCCTCAGCTCGAGTTCGACTGGCGGAGGGAACGCTGGGCTAACTGAAGGTCTGGAGCATCAGCGAATTGTCAAAGGCTGGATTCTTGTAAGCCACCAGGTGCGTGTCATAGTGCTGCCGGCGTGTTGCCCGGCCCCGTCTGCAGAGACACGCGGACAGCAGCAGGGTGCTGACGAGCAGCAGGCCACTGGCCGCGCACAGCCCCGTGAAGACGAGCACGAAGCTGGGCTTGGTGGTGAAGGCAGCGCACGGCCCCCACGGGCCAGAGGCCTGCGGCTGGCTCAGGCCGGCTCTGTTGGCCGCTAGGACACACACACGGTAAGTGGTGCCCGGTGAGAGCCCATACAGGGGGTGCTGCCGGGCAGTGGCATAGATATCCCTCACCACCGACTGGTTCCCCGGCCAGCCCTCCAGAGAATACTGGATCTGGTAGCTGCGCACCACCGAGTTGGGGGCACACCAGCGGACAAGTGCGGACGTGTCGGTGGTCTCAGACACCTCCTGCAGCTTGGGAGGGTCTGGGATGGTGTCATCATGGCTGAGGCCTGGACACCGGCACCGCAGGCGCCTCTGCAGCTCTGCACATGGGGTCTGGAGGTGCTTACAGGGGTGGTAGTCACAGGGGACATCCTCTGGAGGGGCTCCCACCTCTTCCTTCTTCCCCTCCTCCTCCTCCTCACTGGAGTCGTCCAACAGCAAGATTGGAATCCCACCTTCGGAAGGACTCGGGTGGAGAGCCTGTGGGGTGGCCCGTGTCCTCCAGGCGGGCTTGGGCGTGCTCACCGAGTTTGGGGAGGCAGGGACGAGACTGGGGTGTTTGCTGGCCCATGGGGTGGAGACAGCTGAGACATTAGGGTCAAGGACAAGCCAGGTAGCATGTTCTCTGTGCTCTGTCCCAGCTGTGCTTGTGGCCCTGGGCGGATTGCCAGAGTTGCTGGAACCTCCCGTAGAGATGGTAATGGAGGTGGTGGCCCCCTCTCCAACAAGGCTGTGTGGCCATGCAGCTTGTGTGTGGGGCCCCACAGGGTGGGAGGGGTCCTTGGTGACACTCCGTTGGCCTCTTGCAGCTTGAGGGGAAGGGGCTGTGCCCCGCAGGGTGGAGGGACCCTGTGTAGATGGTGCATGGGTGGAGTGGACAGAGGAGGGTGGATTGGAATCTAGGAGGGTAGTGCTTTGGTCAGAATGGCACACACTGGGCAGCTGGGAGAGCTGAAGAGGGGCTGAGAAGGCACCATGGGATCCTGCAGCTGGTGCGCACACAGTGTCTGCTGCCCTAGAGGGGAGGCCAACCAGTTAGAAGGTGTTTGGCATCAGGGTTGCTCCTGTGCTGGCCTTTGTGTCCTCAGTGTAGACTATACTCTGCCAAAACCTTGTCAACGCATCTTCCAAGTACCACATGCCAGGTACACATTAGACACGTACTACCTCTCTGCCCTTCTGGGCAACCTGTGGAGGAGGCACCTATCATCACTCCCATTGTGCAAGAGGAAACGGAAGTGCAGAAAGAACTAACTGCCTATATAGTATGGTGCCCAGCAAATGGGGGAAGGACTGTGAAAGGCAGGCCTAGATTCTCTAAGTACAGTGGGCCATTCTGTTCTCACCTACCTGCTCCCTGGTCATGAGTACTAATAACAGCACATACCAGCTAACATTTTCTGAGTGTTGCCACTTGCTAGGGATGATTGTTAGCACTTTACTGTATTGGCTAATTTAATTTAACAAAGTAGGTACTATTATCCCCATTTTACAGATGAGGAGGTAGAGGCCCAGAGAGGTTAAGTAATGCAGCCAAAGTGAACAGTAATAAGTGGTGTAAAGAGCATGCACTCTGAACCTTATCATTAATACAAAGTGAGACCCTTCACTGCAAAGGGCCTGGGTGTTTAACTTCGGAGATAATGTGAAGGGGCGAGGGGGGCAGACTGATCTTTGCTTGATATCCAGGCTTGGGTGGGAGGTAAGAAAAGAACCCCCGCTGGAAGGGGGGTTGTTTTCCAAAGTGAGCTGCAAAGAGGACAGGTTAGCATTGGAGCTGGGTTGAGGGTGCTCAAGACCAGAGATGTCCCCAGCCCCATCCTTTCCTAGTGGCTAGCCTGGGCATGTCTCCCCACTGCAAAACTAGCTCTTCCAGCCAAGAGCCAATGAGAAGTCTTCATAAGACTCCTGTCCCATGAGAGCTTTGTAAGCTCACTGGCCTTGAACTGAATGACACAGGAGCCAGGTTCTGTTTTGGGGACCTAAGAGGGCCCACTGGTTAAGAGCAGTTTTGGAAGAAGATAGATTCTGCCTTCTCCAGCCAGCAGCTGCATGAAACTAAGCAAGTATCTCCCCCTATTTGGGTCCCAATCCACTCGTCTGTAAAATGGGGCACTGCTAACATTGCTTTGACATTGACAAGCCAACTGTTCACAGAGTGCATTTCTTTTTCCTACTGGGCACAGAGGCGGACTACATTTCCCAGCATCCCTTGCAGTTAAGCTTGGTTTGCTGACTGATGTTCCATCAGTGGGATGTGAGTGGAAGTGATGAGCACCACCTCCTGGCCTGGCTCATTAAAATGTCCTATGTCTACTCCTCCCTGTTGCCCACACCTCTGGCTGGCTGGAAGGGAGGCAAAATCTCCATCACCTGGGTTCCTGAGTATGACAACATGGGGGACAGCTGCTCTGCCCAACACTGCCAACCATCCCAGCATGGATACGTGAGCAAGGCATGAGCTGCAAGAACTTCAGCTCTGGGGGGCTGACCCTCACCCCTCGGTCGCCTGTTTTGTAAATGTGTTACCTGCTCAGGACAGTTCTCTTTGCATCCATGAGGAGCCAGGACAACTCACAGCTGCAAGTGAGGGGGTTGCCAAACAAATTGATGGATAGGACCTGGGAAGAGTGCAGGGTCCAAGGAGGGAAGGAACTCAAGTTGCAGCTGAAATACACAGAAAAGCAGTTAAGTCAGGCTTTTACAATCAGGTCAGAACTATTCCCAGAGAGTCATGGTGGTGTCATGGGGAAACCATTCTGTTAGGAGTTAGATATTACTTTGGGCAAAAATCTTAATGACCTTGGACTTCTTTTTTTTTGTCATCTGTAAAGTGGAGACACCAACCCAGTCAATATCACCCATTATATGGATGATATAGATGATATTATGTGGATGATATATGGATGAAATGGAGACAATTCCCCTGCCCACTGGTTATATTAAAAAGAGTCTGTGATGAAGAAAGTGTTTATAAATGTATATCTCTACACAAAAGTAAGATATTGTTATTATAGACTAGTCGCAAAGAATGGCAGGAATTCTTAATTAATGAGAATCTTGGATGTGTACTATTGCAGTTGGACTGTAGCTGACGGCCCGCCACACCTGTCCATTGGAAGATACCTCGCTGAAGAGTATCCATTAACTCTTGCTAAGTAGAGAATTTTCCCCAAACTTAGTAGATTAAAACAATAAATGTTTATTCATTCTCCTGATTCTGTGGGTTGGTTCGGTGGTTCTTGTGATCTGGGCCACCTCAGCTGAAGCCAGAAAATTTAGGATGGCCTCACATATATGGAGCCTTAACTGGGTTTGCTGGGGCCTCTCTCCCTGTGTCTCTCATCTCCCAGGAGGCAAAGGAGAACCTGGCTCACGTCCTAGTGCATGTCCCCCTTTAGGGGTACTCTGAGTCTGAACTGACACAGCCCTAGCATGAAAGAAGTTTCCATTTGTTCTTCCAAATAGTCTTTTATCTTCTTTGCAGAAATATTGCAAGGGCTTCTCCCTCCTGCGTGCAGTGTTGTTGGAGGGAACTGTGGAGGGCTTTGAGCATGCTGAGTTGGCAGAGCAGCCAGGAAGGCTCCTATCTCCTCTCCAGAGGGTTCTGGCTATACCAGGGCACCCAAATGTCACCCACTCTTTATCACAGATAGCCTCCCAGGGGAGGAAATTGAGTGAGCTGAGGAATGCCAGGATTAGGCCAGGCTGAGGGGGCAGAGAGAGAATCCAGCAGGGAAGGTAGAATTTAACAAGCTTCAGAGGCTTGAGAGCATCCAGAAAGGAAGAGGCTCCCTCCTCCCAGCTGGATCAGTGGTGGTGCGGTATGGGGCCCAGGATAAGCCAGCCAAGAAATGAAACCTTCTTCAAGCCATGAAAAGCACTGAAAAGGTTTCATTTGGCAGGAGGCTTATAATTTAGACAGATCTCCGGGCTGAATGTAGTGACTGGATTTAAGGGTTCCTAACCTGAGGTCCACAGAGACAGGTCCGTGAACATGGATGGAAGATACTACATTTCACTGTCAAAATTTACCATTTGCTTTAACAATGAATAAAGGCAACAAACCATGGGTGAATATCCAATAGAAATCATAGATATTTCCATATCACTTTTCAGTAGTTTCTTGTCATTTATAATCATCAAAATTATCGAAGTTATTAGACCCACTGCTGGATTTCGTCATTTAAGGTATTAAATAAAAAAGCACTCTACATACATGTATATTCCTAAAACACCATTTAGAAATATTTTTATAACTATAATTGGTTTCTTTGTAAGCTTATGTACTTTATTTTATGCATCAAGAACATTCTTGAGAAAGGTCCATAGGCTGTACCAGACTGCCAAAGAAGTCCATGGCACAGAAGCGTTTAAGATCCCCTACACTAAAGGGTGGGGCCCTGAAGGCAAAGTCCCTGATTACAAGGCCCTTGGTAAGTGGGGTAGGAAATGATGAGAACTTGACCTAAAGCTGCCCTAAAGGGTAGCTGGGAAGGGGCTGTTGAGACCAGGCTGGATCTGGTGACAGGAAAGCCAAACTTAAGAGCTGTTTACACCAGCAGTGGCTCTTGAACATGCTCTCCTCTGGCTCCACTGAGAATGAATGTCACCAACACCCAATCCTAGGGTTATTTCCCTGTCCTCAGATGACTAGGCCTCTCAAGGGCATTCAGTTCTGCCAACCACTCCCTTCTCCCTGAAACTCTTTTCTGTCGGCCTCCAGGGCATCACACCCTCCCAGTTTTTCTCTCCTCACTGGTGGTACTTTCTTTTCCTGGTTCTTCCTCTTCCTGATCTTAAAAGTTTGGGTTCTTTAAGACTCAGTCCTGGGCCCTCTTCTATCTAAATCTCTGATCTTACTAACTTCTGTGGCTTCAAATTTAATCTTTATACTCCTAGATTTATATCTCTGGCTCCGACTACTCTTTTGAGCTTCAGACTCATGCAGTATTTAAGGTTATCAGATGTGGAACCAAATTGCCTGGGCTCGAGTCCTGACTCCACTGCTTACTAGCTGTGTGAATTGTTGCAAGTTACTTAATACCTCTTTGGCTCAGTTTCCTCATCTGTGAAATGGGGATAGTGACTATATTCTCTCCCTTTGAATTCTTGAGAGAGGAAATGATTTGATATGTGTCTTAAAAATTCCTGGCACAGAACAAAAGGTTCGGATGATGATGATGATGATGATGATTTCTGGGCATTTACACTGGACGTCTCATAGGTCTTCCAACATCCAGACAGTTAGATACAAGGGCCTGGAGCTTATCAAAAGGCTTGAGCTGGAGATACTTAACTGAGTGTCCACAGCACAGAGATGGCAAAGGAGGCAACAGATATGGCAGTGGAGACAGTGCTGGGGTCATCATGTAGGGTGAGAAATGACATGCAAAAAAGTTGGAAATGTAAATAGCCAAGGACCTTCAGAAGCATATGCAGGAAGGCTGGAGAAGCACCAAGGCAGCATTCCGAGAACAAGGAGACAGTAAGTGTTGATAGGGAAGAAAGAATCAACAAGAGGCTCAATGGACAGAGACGCATCCACTGGATTTAGCAGTTGAAATACCACTGGTTCCATTCAATCACGGAGCTGAAGTGGGTGGTCAGATTGCAGTGAATTGAGAAGCGCAGGGATGAGAGGAGGTGGCCATCACTTCTGAACCAGCTATGCCTGCTTATGTTGGGGTCTGGGTTGTCTTTCTCCTCTGGCATTCACCTGGTGAGTTTGAACTCACCTTTAAAGGAATGGATCCATTATGTTCTTCTACGATCCGATGGAGCTGATCATTAGCCCTACTTGTTTTATAACACAATATGTGGTGTGTGCCTCTGACACTGATCATAATGTATTGTGACAATTGGCAGATGTCTGCTGGCTACACTGAACTGTGAGGTTCCTGAAAGCAGGGGCTGTGCTGTCATCATCACTGCCACCATCATCACCAAAACCATCATCACCATCAACAACATTATTGCTACCAATACCTCCATCCACCACTATCGCCAGCAGCATCATCACTGTATGTTTCTTCCAACATCTCTGGGCTGAGGACTTCCAGGTATCTCCAGCCCAGGCCTTGTGATAAGCTCCAGGCTCACGTATCCAATTGCCTGCTGGATACTAAAAGACCTATGAGACATCTAGTGCAAATTCCCATTAATAATAATAATCTGAAACTCTTGTTCTATGCCAGGCATATCAAAGCATTTCCTCTCTCAACAATTCAATGGGAGAGAATTTGGCCATTATCCCCATTTCACAGATGAGGAAATTGAGTCATAGAGGCATTAAATAACTTGCCCCTTGAGCCGAGGCAGTTTGGCTCCACATCTGGTGCCTTCTACACAATGCTGCATCAGTCTAAAGCTCAAAAGAGGAGCCTGAGCCAGAGATGATTTCATTCTCATCAATGTTATCACCGCCACCATCATCATCAGCATTACCATCACTATCATCAATTCACCACACTATCAACATCATCACCATCACCATTACCACCACGACTGTCATCGTTACCATCTCCTTCACCACAAACCACCTCATCTTCATTAATGCTATAGAGCATACACCATGTGCCAGGCACTGTACTAAGTGCTCTGCATGTTCTGATTCCCTATTCCTTGTAAAAAGTCCCAAAGTGAAGTACTGTGATTAGGGCGGGAACCAGCAGAGTAAACGAAGTGGCTACATTGAGAGTGATGGTGGGGCAAAGGGGCTTCCTTCCCAGGACCCAGATGTGGGTGCTTAGGAAAGGAGACAGCCTGGGGTCATCTTCAAAGGGACGCTGAAGGGTGGACATCACTGGGCCATAGGGCACCAACCCTGGGTCCCCACTGCAAGTAGGACTTTCCTACCCTCTCACCTTTCCTCCCTAGACCCACTCAAACCCTGGAAGGGGCTTTCTTCCCACAGGGGAAAGCAGGTGGATGGAGAAATAGAGAATGCGATGCCCTCACCCCCTCTTCCCAAGGTTTCTCACCTGGGGCTTAAGGGAAACCTTACATGCATGAGAGTTTGGAGATTCAATATTGCCCTGAACAAGACTGAGTTGCATGGTTTGTAGGCTGGACGGACTAGCTGGAATCTGCCTAAGATATCACCCAAAGGATGAGGAAGAACAAAAGCCCAAAAAGAATTTAAAGGAGCCATAGGAGGAAAATTAAGGTCTTGTGTGTTCTATAAAATAGTTACACCTATTCAACATAGTGTAATGGGCAAAATTCGGCCATGTGACTTGGAAACACTTACTTCTGGAGCAGAAGGAGCTGTAGGCGGGGAGTGTCTCGAAAGATGTTTGTCTGGACAGAGGTAAGTGCTGGCGAATCTTGACAATCCAGCTGTTGCAGGTCAGGGGTCATCTTGAAAATGTCTCCCTCCAGGCTCCTCAGCCTGGGCATCTTCCTCAGGTGGAGGGATGAGAGCTTCGGCAGGTCTTTGATCCACCCCGTCTGAACTGAAACACAAGGGAAACTTCCTACTACCCAGGAAGGCATAAACCCGGGAGGCTAGCACAACCTTAAGGAAATACCGAGAGTGACAAACTGAGTTTTGAAGGTCACCGCTGAGCAAGGGCATAGTGGCAGCTTTGGGAATCTCAGAAGCCTGGGCCGTTTCAGCCAGAAGGGCCCTCAGAGATGACGGGTCCTTCCTTCCTTTCGACCTGAGGCAGCTGAGGCCAGAGAGGTGAATGATTGGCCCAAGGTCACACAGCTGGGAAAAGACAGAGCCAGGACTCGAACCAAGGGCACTGTCTCCAAGTCTGCTGCTGGCCCACCCTCGCCACACAGAGACACCCCAAACTTCACACAGATGTATCCACACTTCACTCCGATGGTTGCCGTGAGTGGGGAAATTTTTGAGGAAGGTGAGGAAGAAGGAGAAGAGGAGAGGCCCAGAAACCTAACTCTGTGGCTCTCCTGACACGTGGGGAAGTTCCCCTTCCTCTGGGTTTCTAGTTTTCGCTCTCTTCTTTCTTTGTCTATGGTGGAACAGGTGATCATAGATACATGAAGTGTTTTTTAAAAAAATAATAAAACCGACCTGTGAACCAGAGTCAGAACACACTAAGTACAAGAGAACTGGTATTCTCACCTTCCTCCTGTGTCTTTTTTGAAGGAGTCAACATTTACAGACACAATTTTAGTCAACCAAGTAGAAAAGCCAACGAATTCACCCTTAGAACATCGGTTGCTTCACATGAACTGCGTGTTCAGTGCTGAGCCCCAAACATCCCCTTCTCCATCCTAGGAGCATTTACCAGCTGTGCCAGTAGCACTACGTGGCTAAAAAGTTTGGGCTCTAGACCCAGAAAGCTTGGGTTTGGATTTGGAGGCTCCACTTAATAAGCTGTGAGACTTCGAGCCAGTCATTCGCCTTCCTGTTCCCACCTCTTGGAACTCAAGGAGTTAACGTCTGTATGGAGCTTTGAACAGGGACCACTTGGTTCGGGAAATGTAGCTGGCACATCTAGGAGCGGCACTGTGAGCTAGGATCTAGGTCACCACCCCTGGAGATAGTTACAGCCCGACCGCGGGGAGCGCATCCCCCAGCATGCCTCTGAAAACCCGGAGCCTCAGGACTCACTCTGCGTGAGGAACGTGCTGCTGAGGTCCAGGACCTCGAGCGTGGCCAGGGGCGCGAAGGCGGCGTCGGCGATGTCCCCCTGGGTGCCGTGGCCCAGCGCGGTGCTGGAGAGGTTGAGCAGGCGCAGCGCTGGGAAGCAAGTGAAGGCCTTGGGCGGCAGCGTCTGCAGAGGGTTCCCCGCGAGCTCCAGCGCATGGAGGCTGCCCAGAGAGGGCCCGGCGCACAGAGGCAGGGAGGTTAGCTGGTTGTAGCTGAGGTCCAGCGTGTGTAGCCCCGCCGGCCCGCCTGGGCCCCAGCGCAGCGCGGCGATACGGTTGTGGCGCAGCGTCAGCACCTGCAGCTGCGGCAGGTGGCCGAGCTCCCGCGCGCTCAGGGCGCGCAGCAGGTTGTGGCTGCCGTCCAGGCTGCGCAGCGTGCGGGGCAGGCAGTCAGGTAGGCGCTCTAGGCTACGATTCACCAGTGTCAAGGTCGTGTTCTCCGCTGCGAAGAGACCCTCGCAGGATGTGCCCGTGGTGTTGCTGGCCTCGCTCCCCCAGGGACCCTGCTGAGTGATCCGGAAAAGGGGGACCCTCTCCTGCAGAAGCCCTGCCCTGCTGGTGCGCAGCGCCATTGGCGGCAGCAGCAGCAGGGCCCACCACATGGCGCGTGGCTGGGGAGAGAACAATGTGACAGCCCATTAAATCCAGCGGAAACCACGGAAGGAAGGGCAAATGTCCCCCCTACCCCCAGGCTCTGCGGGGAAGCACGAGCCTTAGATGCTCCCTGGGAGGCAGTGGACATTCCCAGCGTTACTGGGTGTGCAGTGACTTTGCCCCTACCTGCTTTTCCCCATCCCCTCCACAAAGAGGCCGCGGCACTTCCTGCCCTTCCTTCTCCCAGTGATGCCTTTCCCTCTAATTCTGTCTCATTATGTGGGTGCTAATCCACAGGGGACCTTTTGCAGAAGGCCTCCCTCATCTGTCCTGTCTGGGCTTGAACCTCCCCGTAACCCTCTTCATTTACTTGTCCTGATGCCACGAACTTCCCCAGGGACGGGAACATGTCCTTTATCCCTGTAAACTCTCCCCAGGTGTGCAACGAATGACTTCAGCCAGGGAAAAAGTTCTGCTGGACTATAAAGATGGGACTAGAGGAAGATTGTATCAATCTCAAGGAAATTCAGTTGCCCCAATTTTCCCCCTACAACTGACGAGTTGCAGATGAGTCGTGGTTTGCATGTGACATGGTTTGCAGGTCACATTTTAAAATAAGATCTTGAGTTTCTTTCTTGGGAGGGCACAACTCAGAGTTGCTTTCAGGGAAGGAAGGAGCCCTCAAACAGCTGTGAGGCTTGGGAACCTGGAGTCATATTTTCTGGTCCCAACAAAAGCCATGGCTCCTGAGGTCAGCCGTGCCCAGGAGGGACGGCTGAGGGCTACTAGGCGTGGAGTTTCTGGAGTATCCAGGGTTGTACAGGGCAGCTGAGAGATCAGGTGGGGGTAGATCAGGCAGCCACGGGCTGGTCTGGGGGCTGCAGAGCTACTTCCAGCAGGCCCTGGCCGCGAGGTCACCCCTTGATACTCCTCCGTTTCTGTAGGTGTGTACTCCTGTCCCAGCTATTTCAGCCGACCACTAGGTCTCTGGGCAACCACCCCGGCCTCCCTCTTGCTGCTCAGGGGTTAAGGCAGCGAGAAAGATCCTGGAAACTAAGGCAAGGAAGCCATGTGTCCAGCAGTATGTCATACTCACCGGAAGCTGACCTTTTAGAATCTGGGACCTCTGGATGCCCCTTTGCAGTCTTCAGTCTTGTCTTATAGATTCCAGGAGCCAGTGATTTAGACAGCAGCTCAACTCTGAATTCCAGAGGGAGGCCTGTTTCCCAGACGCCCCTGCCCTCCGGCCCCACCCACCGAGACGGCCTGAGATACCCCAGTTCCTGCAGCCCCTCCTTTCTCACACTGTGGTCTTTAGCAACACCTTCATTTGCTTGTCTCCTCCTCTCACTCTGGGCTTGAGCCTGCCCCTTTGCATGCCCAGCACCTCCTCCTAGCCCTTCCCCATCTTCACTTCACCTTACTCCTCCTTTCCAGGCTGAGAAATGAGGGAGTCAGCTCTCCCTGGCCAAGGGGAGGGCTGAGAGCTAATGGGTACAGTGAGGCAGAGGCGCAGTGTCACCTCCCAGGAATCTGATCCTCTTGCCACGTGGTTCCCATTTCCTGGGACAGTTGGATGCTAAATGGTGAGCCAGCATGAGGAGGAGACCCCACACCCCAAAGGAGGAAAGTATCTTAGTTCATACGAAGGCCTGCAGAGATTTATGGGAAACAGTGGCCAGAGAGGGGGCTTCAGAGGAGTCTGCGAGCAGGGACAGGCTCAAACCAGATCCAGGGGACACAAGAAGGGTTGGTCTGGTTTCTCTAGGAGCCAGTTCAGTGACAACATGGATGTTTGTCTCTCAGAAGTGGTGGGAATAAATAAAAAGGGCAGAAATGCAGAAAGCATTCTCGACTCATGGCTAGGGTTATTGATCCTGGTTACCGAGAGCCCCAGGTCTCCCTGAAGCTGTAGTGATGCTAGATGAGCTTTGTTTAGGGCACATTTGTTTAGAGCAGACAGTGCCTTTCTCCCTCCGAGTTATAAGACTGTTCATTTAGTCTGAGGACCTTTGATCTGCACCTTCCCTCACCCCCAGGCCAGGGGTTGTTCACCCCCAACCTCCTGAACACTGACCCTGAGATCAGAACTGCAGGGGTCTTTCCTCCTGTCAGTCCTTATCTGAGCAGCCCTGAGGAACCCCAGGATACCTCGGAACTGGCATGTTGGGTTAATTGGATAATTGCACATTCCTGGGGATCTCTTTGAGGCCTTCTCCACCCAAAGTCTCAAAATAGCCTTTTAGCCTCAGTGCCAGCCAGGGCCTTGCTGCTCAGAAGCATTTCTGCATTGGTCCCAGGCTGGGGCAGGGAGAGGCTTGTTCTGTGCAACCTTGTCTGGGGCAGTGCAGTCACCACCCAGGGAGCCCAGGCCCTAGAGGTAGAAACGCTACGCCATGGACAACACAGGAGGCCAAGTGGGAGGGAAAGGTGGGAAGGTGAGAGGACCAGAGTGTGCGTCAGGGGGCAGCCTCAGGTGAATCTCTACCTCTGACTTTGCTTGGTTCACCGGGTACAGAGAACACCCAGCAGGTCAATTAAAACATCAGCTTCTCTCCGAGTTAAAGCAGCCAGGTCTACTCTAGGGGCAATGGACCACCTGAGGCCGGCAGGGGTCTCGGAAGTTCAGGCAGGGCTGCCCAGATGAGCGGAAGCCGAATCCACGGAAAAACACCTGTTTGAACAGAGAGCCTGAGGATGAAGTAAGTTGGCTCCTCATGGAGGGCTATAAAAGAGGACTCCAGGGGGTGATGTTGGGGTGCTTCTCTATCCACCTGTGGAGCAAGGAACGTGGAGAGGCCCTGGTCTCGGAACTCCCCTGAGGTCATCACCCTGCGCTTGCCCAGAGCCCCAGGCCCTCTGAGCCAACTTCTTGTCCCCACTGCTTGTTGGCTAGTTCACCAATGGCAGCAAAGGGCCTGGCTGGACAGGCTGAGCTGGTGTCCAGGTTTGGCCCTCTGGACAGCTCTATTGCTCTGGCTCTGGTCATACCCAACCCAGGCAGACACACCTTGGGTGGCCTGCCCAGGTAGGCTTTTGAGCTGGGCAGTCTGGTGGCAGACCCTGCATGGCAGAGTTTGCCTACTAGTCTCACTCAGGTGGCAGGTTGGCCTTGCCCCAGTGGGTGTTCTCTCCTTCTCAGAACAATCACACTTCTTTAAATGGAACACTTATTACAGTCAGAGCCTCAGCTCGTGTGCATTATCATATTGAATCCTCATCAGGTTCTGGCTGTTATTACTGTGCTATAGATAAGGAAACTGCGGCTCACAAAGGCTGATAGGCTCTGGAGCACACAGCTAGTTAGTCTGTCTGGCTTAACCACTGCTTTTACGTTGTCTTCCGTAGGCCTCAGCATTTGACACTGTAATATTCCCTATAAGCACAAGAAAACATTTTCCAAATATTTAGATAGACCCAAATCATGAAAGAAGCCAGGTGCGTTGGGAAATTTCCTTTCATAGATGAGCAGTTCATTCTCAGAAGAAACAGAGCCCACTCCTTGGGGCCCTGAGGGCCCAGGACTGAAGCAGATGCCTGAGCAGGGCCATTGGGCACCTCTCAGGAAGGCCTTGGCCACCTTCTCCAGCCCCTTCTCTTCTAGCACCTCTGAGAGGTCAGGAAAAGATGAATGAAGTGTTTGTCCCCTCCAGACAAGGATGCTAAAGTCTCACAACAAAGTCCTGGGACCAACAAGTATGTGTCCTCCAAACGCCACACCATGCCAAAAGCCATGCCACCTCCAGCCTGCCATCACTTTACCCAAGTGGCTCTCTCTCCCCCTTGACCATTTCAGCTCACATTCCATACCTACTGTGGGTTCTCTCAAAAGTTGACCCTGAGATAGGGACTCAGGTGCAGGTAGTTTATTTGGGAGGTGATCCCAAGAAGCATGGAGAATGAGTAAGGAAGTGAGACAGAGAAAGGAAGGCACTGCGTTAATGAGCAGGTCGCTCAGCTTCTCTGGGCCCCTCGGATCTTCCTGTGGCTTTCACTGCCGGGCATGCCTGGCTTGTTCTGAGCATGGATCAAGCAACTCCAGGGAGGGCTAAGAGGATGGGCACTGACAGCATCTGCTATAGCACCCTTTAGGATTTTGCCCAAGCAGGCTCTCCCTTGGGGCTCACTCCCAGGTGACCTGGGCTGACTGCCATCAGGTGGATGACATGGCTCCCTAACTTAGTACTAAAATTCCTGAGGATTGGGCCATGCCATTCTTCTCGGTAGCCCAGGTAGCCAGGGTGGTGTCTGGCACTTGGGACAAATGTTTAACAAATGAATGGGAAGAGTACGTGGTGAGTCAGAATTCCTTCGTGGTGGTGAGTCAGAATTCCTTCATGGTGCCCTGGAGTGGACGGGGCAGGATGCAAGACGGTAAATATTACATTCAAGTGCCTGAAGTTCGCAACCCAGGTCCCTAGCATCCCAGCCTCGAGAAGGGCTCAGGTGAGGGTTGAACTGGGGCACAGTGGGTGGGGTGGGGATGGAGGTGGAAGGAGAGAATTGAATCACAAAGAAGTTTCTTATGGATCTTTGGGAGAAAGATCTTGTGGAAGAAGATCACAAGGTTAGAGTGTTAGTAGAACCATAGCCTGCCTACAGGGGCAAAAAAAGAGCCAGTAATTTACATACTTGGCAACACTTCTTTTCTTGCTTTAGATCAAAATCAGAGTCATGAATCCTTGGCCTTAGAAGTGACTTTAGAACTTGTCTGGTTCCCTCCCTGTCCATTTTAGAGAGAGAAAACTGAACCCCAGAGAGGGAAATTGGTTTGTCTGAGGTTACAGAGATGAGTCCCAATTATCTATTGAGAAAGAACGGTGATCTAATTCTCACTATTCTATTCTGGGCTCTGGCTTATTTGCCCAGGTGACCAGGTCTCACCTTCCCTGGCATTAGCTTTGTAGGCCTTTTCCCACAGGTATGGCAAGTAAACATACCTAGCCAATGTCAGGTCATTGGTCAGAGTTTCAAGGGGTTCTGACCCCTGCCATTCCCATCCCATTCC